AAATCATGATTTTTTTACAAGCTTATAATGTTTTCTGTTAAGAGTGCCTTCTCCTGAGTGATGATTGAGAGAGAGAGACAGAGAGAAAGACAGAAAGACAGAAAGAGAGAGAAAAGAAAATGCTGAACTTTTCATACAAAAGCTTTTTTGTTTGTAGAGAAACTCTTGAAAAGTGACTCCAGTGAACCCCAAATGCCCAAATACCAACAGTCAATGACAAAGGCATTAACAAACTATTTTAAAGTCAGCCAGACAACTTGCAAAAAGTTGAGAATGGCAAACCTGAGCAATTTCTTTACTCCACTGGCATACTGGAACAGTTAAATGATTAAAAACAGTTTGTACAATGTTTTGAAAATGTAAAATGCTAAGGCATTATTAGTTAACTACTGCTGCTTTCTTACGCAAAATGATTACGCAGTATATAGTAATCATTGCATACAGTACATAACAGTGATTCTCTCTACAGAGCTAAACCTTCCACATCATCCCTGAATCAAAATTTCTAATGCTGTTTTAGAAAGCAACTGAAACTATCAGGGAATCTAACATCATGTTTTCCTCATTGTCTTCTGTTCTTTCTCCTTTTTCTTAGGTATCAGACCTGCTCAAACAATGGGCTGGTGGCCGGTTTCCAGAGCCAGTATTTTCCATCTGTGCTTGACCGTGAATGGCAATTCTACTGCTGCCGCTATAGCCGGAGATGCCCGTATTCATGCTGGTGAGTTCAAGCAGAAACCAAGCCTGTTAGCCTCTTTTTTTTTTTTTTGTCATCGACTATTTGGCCCATTAAAGGTCAGGACTTTCTTGTCTGAGAAAAGTTTAACTATTCTTTACGGGCTTAAGTTATTTATGATGGGCATCTTCAGGATCCACGGCTAAGGGAAGGGAGTGAGGGCACAGCTTAGCTATGCTGGAAACTATGACAGGAGTCTCCAAAGTAGGAGATCATTCCAAAGAGGTGATGTAGCTTCCAATACCTGATCCAGTACATTTACAGGAATAGGAGCAAGTCTGCGCTGCACTAGTGTGCTGCAATGACTTACACTAGTGAACTTCCTTCCAGTTACCACAGAAAAACCACCCTCTGCCTGAGAACCTGAGATTTACTGTTTTAGAGTACATATGAGTTGCTCCATTTCTAAAGGCTAGTCAAAGCTCTAAGTCAAAATGAGCTCCTGATCATCATCTAAACGTAACAGAGAGGTGGCCTTTTCTCAACAGACTATCACAACTCGCTGGAGCTGCTACCTCATAGATACTATGGAAAAATGAGCTTTCCTGCGTCCCCAGGTGTGGTCTTTATAAATTGAGATGGAAGCACAGTAGCAGACTGTGTAGAGAAAGCTCATATTGCGCCTATCTATTCTCCAGACTTCAGGCTCTAGGGCTATTAATCCGGTTATTTTCCCTGGCACAAAGCATTACCCTCTTACACTTTAAAAAGGAATTAAAAAGAGGAGAAAATCTGTACTTGACTCTTTTGTTTCCAGAATTCAGCTTTGAAGTAAAATTTCTATTGAGATGCATACAAAATGTTTACATGCCCGCTAGTCTTACTGCCTGTCTGGCTGGCTACTGGCCAAACACAACAGCAGTGCCTTGCCTTGCAGACTTCAGTATCCTTGCAGCCAGAAGGAAAAGAACTGTTTTTTTTTTTTCATTTTTAAAGATTTTAAATGATAGCAACTCTATAAAAATCTTTGAACATTCCTCTGCCCCCTTTCCAACCCCCAGTGCCTACAGATGTTCTGTACCTGCGGGCAGATTTACACACTTGCCCAGGCTCTTCCATCTGAGGGAGACTCACTCCCTGTTTTAAGCAGTTCTTCCAATCTCTCAGACTCCTCCAATGGTGTGAATTTTCAGTGAGACGACAGAAATCATCTCTGATTTCTTTTGTTACTGTTGTCAACTCTGTTGCATTCAGATGTTGTCTAGACAACCTTGGAATGGCTCTGTCTCTCTCTTGTAAATCAGAACACAGAGTAGCGCAGATCCTAATGGAAATGTCTGGGGTTACTGATGTCTTGCATTTCCATCCCAGCTGCACACTGATTTCTATATTGCCCTTCTGTTTCAAACAGTGACTACACTGTATTTCTTATCCCTGAACAAGAATGCGTTATGCTGGACAGCAGCTACCACCTTTCTATGCAGAAAAGGCTGCCTTTCAAAGGCAGGTGAAGTGCTTCCCCACTTAAGTAGGAGAGAAATCTGCTCCTTTGTGCTCGCACCCTTCTGGCAGAGGAGAGCTGAACATCACAGCATCAGATCTCTGTGTGGATCTGACACCTAGACTTGTGAAAAGGTTCTGGGGTGTAGTCAGATTACAGGTTTATTATAAAACCATTTTGCACCATCTACTATCACCCCCATCCACTCCAGCTGGAGCTTAGTTAGTTCTAGTCAAGCTACCAGCCTATCCTGACACTCACATATCCTCTCTCACCATGGACAGTCTCTCATACAGCTTATTTTTCTTCAAACCCCTGTTTGACCTGACTCTCTTAGACTACCTCCTTACAAAGTATTTCTTCCAATTTCTTTCAAATTCTCCTTCTGCTTTTGGAGTTAGCAAGGTAGATATAAGCCTCTCTACATACAGTTCTCCAAATTAGGATGTTACCGTCTGGATGGGCAGACAACTAGATGGGTAAAAGACTAGCGGGATGATTAGGCTCAGCAGGTAGTGGTTTATGGGTTGTACTCTACCTAGATGCCAGTTTGAAGCGTGCAGCACCGCAGGGGTCTATCCTGGGACCTGGCCTGATTAAACTCTTTATCAATGACCTGGAGGAGGCAACAGAGCGCACTCTCATCAGGTTTGCAGATGACACCAAAATGGGAGGAACAGTTGATATGCTTGAGGGCTGGGCTGCCATTCAGAGGGACCTGGGCAAGCTGGAGGAATGGGCTGACAAGGACCTCATGAAATTCAACAAGGACAAATGCAAAGTCCTGCTCCTGGGAAGGAAGAGCCCCTGGCAACAATCCAGGCTGGGGCCTGACTGATTGGGGAGCAGCTCTACTGAAGAGGACCTGGGCATCTTGGTGGACAGCAAGCTGTACAGGAGCCAGCTGTGGGCCCTGGCAGCAAAGCAGCTCAGCAGTGTCCTGGGCTGCATTGACAGAAGCACAGCCAACAGGTCAAGGGGACTGATCATTCCCCTCTGCTCAGCGCACATGAGAGCACATGTCGAATATTGTATCCAGTTTTGGGCCCCCAGTACCTGAGAGACATTGATAAACTGGAGTGAGTCATGCAGACGGCCACCAAGACGGCCCTGGGGGCTGGAGCACTTGCACCAGGAGGAGAGGCTGGGGGATAGGGCTTGTTCAGCCTGGAGAAGAGGTGGCTTCAGGGGCCCCTAACAGCAGGCCCCCAGGACCTATGCAGAGGCTACCAAGAAGATGGGTACAGGCTCTTCACAGCAGTGCATGGTGGGAGGACAAGAGACAACAGGAAAAAGGTGAAATAGGAAAGGTTCAGACTGGATGTAAGGAAAAACTTTCTGGCCGTGAGCACAGTGAGGTGGTGGAGCCGGTTGCCCAGTGAGGTTGTGCTGGCTCCATCCTTGGAAGTGTTCCAGACCCGACTGAATAAGGTCCTGAGTAACCTTGTTTGACCTCAGCTGACTCTGCTTTGAGCAGGGAGTTGGACTAGAGACCTCCTGAGGTGCCCTGCTGCCTGAGGTATCCTGTGGTTCCAAACAGGACTCCTCTGCTGGAGGGCCCACATCACACAGCTAAACACACTCTGCCCTCCCCAACAGACGGGTCTCATGCATATTGCCTGCTGGGAACAGCTCCTTTTACATTTTATTCCCTCTACCATCCCCAGTGTCTGGGGGAGTGCCAGTTGTTATGCTAACATCCAAACCCAATCCAAAATGTGCTAGGGTGAAACCCCATGCCCTGGAACCACTTATACTACTAGAGATGCAGCTTGTCAGAACTGCTAAATGTCCGTGTTCAGGAACTAAACTTCCAAGTCCCTAAGCCCAGTGGCTCTCACTCACAACCCCACTGCCATTAGCACTTCCAAGTTATTGCCACAAAACCTAGTTTAGATATCACACTTGTCAGTATCTTGTACTGTCTGTTTAAGATGCATTTACCACAGAGCCTGTGTTTCTGAACAATCTGCAAAGCAGTCCTAGCCTATCATTGACAGTACACCCAAACGTACATACATATAAAATACAATAAAAATGTGTGTGCATATTTAGTACCATTATTTATTACAATTTCTGCCCAAGCCTATAATGGTATTTCTTTCTGTTCCAGAAACTAGTTGTTAACAAACTGTCTGTGGAAAAGGGCTATTAACATGCTGCTGACTCCTGTTTCTTGGTTGAAGCAGCTTAATTTAATGCAAAGGCATCTATCAATATGACTATGTGGAAAAGTAATACCAGGAAAATATGAAATGACTGCGGTGTCTCATGGATCATGTGTGACGCACAGGAAAACCTGTATTAAAAGGCAGTCCTCACTGCAGAATTTCTTAGGAGCCTTGAAATCTAGCTTGCAAGGAATCCCTCGTTATGGAACCAAACACAGGCAGAAAGGCATTTTTAAGGAAAACTAACAATACTTTTTGTTTTAAATTAGTGTTCTCACCTCAGGTATGTAATCCCTTCCTTTTCCAGATGTCTCCTTACATGGCTCTCTGGTAAATATATAAGCAGTAAGATAGCTGATCCTTATTTATGGTTTTCTATAGATCTTCTCCTTCAGGAGACCTATGCAGAGTACAGGAGTCCCTTCAGGAGCATATTCCTGTTGAAGTGAACTTTTCTTCCCTAAAAGGAATAAAGACAGTTTTCTCCCATGTAGATTAGCCACACAAATGATTTGTTAGAATTTGACCCAGCTTTTAGAGCTGGAACATTCCTCTCTGTATTTTTTGAGTCCCGCTGCTACTTACTGGAATTCTAATTTATGACACCATTGTGTTAACTGAAACCCACACTTAAGCACTTTGCTTAACTTAAGCACACGGTTAAAGCCAAACACATGCTTAAGGACTTTGCTTGAGTAGTGTCTCTACGCTTACTCTCAGAGTCCGGCAGTTATGTTTCACAGCTCCTCTTCTCACCATTAATTCCCAATTTAGCTGCACAGTGAGCCCATACTGCAAATAATTACGCTAATCTCTTGCATTCCCATAGTTTTTCACTTGTTATTTTTAATTTTTTTTTTTTAATACAAGTACTTGATTTCCTTCCTCACTATGCCAAGTCTTGTCACGGACTCTGCACATTTTTACCATACTGAAAATAATTAGCATTCCTCACAGGAGGCAGAAAAGCTCCAACTATTTTACCTGGCTGTGGAATGCTACCGCAGTAAAACAAACTCAACAGTTATCCAGATCATAAAGGCAGCAAATCCCTTGCAGATGTGGAGACAACGTTATTAAATAGTCCCATCGGACCTCAGATTTTTCTCTTTGCAGGGAAATTGAAAGCTTGATTCCATACTCTCAAAAGCAAACACATGTCACACAGCAGCCCCAGGTCTGCACAAACTGTTTATGACTGTTTCCCCTCTCCAAACAGCCAACAGTTCAAGTGCCAGAACGTCTGTCTGGAGCTGTGGCTGCTCTCTGTCACTGTGACATTGTCCAGGCAACAATTACATTTCCCAAGAGTTATGGGGCTTAAAGAACTTATTTGTTTCCTTGACTAACCCTGCTACCAAAGCCATACTGAT